CCCCCCCCGGTTTTTTTTTTTTTTTGTTGTTGTTGTTGTTGTTGCTGTTTGTTTGTTTTTGTGTGAGTGTGTGTGAGTAAATCTATTTTTTTTAATTCAACCTAAAACTTTTTTTTCTTTTGGGTATTGATTATCCTATATATACTAATATCTCAATACAAGTTTGTGGAATTATTTCCATTTTCTAGGAGGAAACAGAACAAAATACTGACAATGTAAGTGATGATTTATATATTAAACCATTATTTTGGGAACTAATCTTAAATTTGGCCTTTAATATTAAATTTTATTGCCCACAATGCATTAAAATTGTGTTTATAGACAGGAAGTGGGATTGTTTCAAAAACATCTTCTTATGTCAGTGAAAATTAGAAAATATTACTTTGGAAGACATCCATGGTTTCTTATAGTATAGAACTTAGCAAAGATTTAAAAGAATTATTTTCCCAACAACGTTTTGAAGTATAGGGTTCTTTTATTTAGGGGAAGAAGAACTCTCTTGAGAGGCAGGATGTGGAAACTAGCATGACCCGGGTTGTTTACACAAAGTAGTCCACACCTCCCTGATTAGGTCAGAGAATTTTGCTTTTACCTGGGACAGCTGCCTTCTATTAGCACTAGAAGCATATTGTACAATCTATGGTCATTGATCCATGACCACCTTCCTATTTTGGATTTTTTAGTCAAGAGAACTCAGAATGCAGAAACTGAGTTGGTGGAGAGGGGCTGTTGCTAGACATAATTTGCCAGAAGGAAAATACAATGTCCACCTTAAAAACAAATGAGGCTATCAAAATGACTACATGTTATAAAATGAACACAATAGGGGCAGTCAGAGAGTGACTCCTAGGAATTTTTTTCTTTTATGTCATAAAGAAATAAAGATAAAAGGTGAATGATGTTGTCAGGACAGATAAAGCTGCCTCTCCTCTTCACTTCCCACAACTGTGGGGCATTTAAGGCAGCTCTGTGGAATTATTTTGAAGTAATATTTGGAAGGAAGGTACATGTAATGGTTGTTTCACAATTCTGAGGTTAATGATAAAAGATTGTTGTGTCTATGCCTTGAGATTTTTCAGATTCATAAGTGCATTTTACTATATTTACAAGAAATATTGTATTTTTGAGAAAATGCAATGCAAAAGTAAGCTGAGTCACAATGTCCATTTACCTTAGAGCAAAACAACCTTATTTCCTTGTAGTTGAAATCAAGGGCAGGGAAATCAGGCTGTGGTTTCTGAAATCCAACAACCTAGTATCGCTGTGCCATTCTCTCCCTGGATCCAGCGCCACTCCCTTCACTTGATATCTGTTTACTTTACAGGAGGCAGTTTTTGAGAAAGGATCATAAATATCCTGGCCTGGTGCCCCAGGAGCCATGACAAGCAAAGGAACATACTCGCCTGGAGATAGCCTTTGCGATATTTAAATGTGTGGGTTAATTTTTTATCCACTTTAATAACTGGGTTTTTTCTCCCTCTACTTCTTTGCTTTCTATTTCTGCTCTGAAGCCGTGGGCACAGAAATCTCTGCAGGCAAATTACTCCAGAGCACATTGCAGGACAATACTATAACGAATAGTTAAATTTACGGGCATTTGGATTCCTGATCCTCTTCTGAAATGGCAGGTGTGAGTGGCTGTATAAAATATTCTATGTTTATCTTCAACTTCTTGTTCTGGGTAAGTGTTTTTCTTTTAATTATCAATTTTATGCAAGAAAGGAGATCTTGATATAAATATCATAAATGAGAACAGACTCTGCACTAGAGAAATAGGAGGAGGAGGAAAATGTATTTTCCATTGACTTGTTTGGATTTGTTTGTTCTTTCTTTGGCTATTTCAGTAATTGAAAATGAGCCAATGATTCAAAAAAGTGCACTTCAGGATCTGGGAGGATAAACATTTCATAAATGTTTTGATATTGTTGCAAAAACAAGCACAGAGGAAAAAGTACCCCTTAATTAAAGGATAATTATTCTTAGTTGTATATCAAGCAGGCCTCCCCGGTTTAGGGACCCTGTGGGAAAAACATGGTCTGGTTCCATCCAGTGCCCAGCCCCTTAGTCCTGCCCTTCACAACCCAGATTTAAAAATAGGTGAATAGTGGGGTGTGGAATGATAAAGACAAGAGAAAAGGATCATTTTTAGAGCCCCAAAGTAAAAACTATGGGTCAGGAGGAAAACAATAACATTATTTCATCATAAGAAGATTAAACTAAGCCCATAGATATGTATTGGCATTTTAAAGTCAGTATTTTGATGTGTCATCATCCTCTCTTTTAATCTATGGTGTTTTTGTTTTAGCAAGTTGCTGTGTTTCTCTTGAAAGTTCATTGACATAGACATAGCAAATAAATTAATAAGTAGCATCCGTCATTGGAAAATGTAAAAACAAGGTATGAAAAGGGTGGGCTGGGATGCTGGGAAATTGACATTATCATTTTTAGTTTACATGCTGTAAGTAAAGACTGTTCAAAAAGCGAATCAGTGGAAATAGCCCAAAGCACTTAAATGAAAAAAATAATTTGTATAGTGGATTAAAAATCAGCTTATGCAGTACCAGGAGGAAAGAACCCTGGTTTTGTTTTTGTACCTGGTTGCCTTAGTAAACAGACAACTAGTATGTACATGTTGGTAAATTTCTGTCCTATTAAAATAATGATGGATTTAATTAAACTTAACTACACGAATACAATTTTATTGAGTAGAATGACTTTCCATTCAATGGTCAGTAGCCCTAATGATATAAGTGATATACCAGTAAATTAATAAGTGTGTATATGAAGAAATAAAATAAAATAAATAAGGAAGGTTTGTCTTTTGTTCCTTTTCTTTTTCCTAAAATATGGGCTGCTTTTGCAAATATTAAACGAAGCTCATGCATATATGCCAATTTTTTTAAGTTAGTTTTGATACATTTTTTCCTTTGAAATATTTAAATTGGTTAAACATTGGCAGTAAAATATAAAGAAATGCCTGTGTTCTTTGGTTTGGTTTGGTTTCTAGTTGTTCTTATGAAGAACTTCATAAAAGAAGACAGAATAGGGTAACCAACCCCAACATCTGGCCCCCAAAACCATGAAACCACGGCCAACTTTTCTCCATCCCTACTCTCACTTCCCCCACCCTGTATTATTTTAAAGCAAATATGAGATAGATCATTTCATCTGTAAATATTTTAGTATATATCTCTGAAAGGCAATAATTCTATTTTAAAAACTGTAACTACAATATCATTATCATACTTTAAAAACTTAAACAGAATTTCTTAATCAATGGTCAAATATCCACCAAGCGTTTACATTTTCCAATCGCCTCACAAATATTCTTCTTTGAATCAGGATCAAATAATGTCCACACATTGTGATTGGTTGTACATCTTTTATGTCATTTTTAATCTGTAAGTTCTCTCTCCATCTTCATCTCTTATCCTCTCCCTTGACATTTTATGAACTGGTGTGTGTTGTTTGTCTTCTCACATTTTCCATGGTCTAAATTTTGCTATTTGCATACTCATGGTATAGTTTAACCTGACTTCTGTATCATGTGTAAGTTAGGACTTGCATATGGCAGCTTGATAAGATTCAGTGTTTGTTTATTTTGGTTCAACACTTCGTAAGTGACACTATTATTTCATCTGGAGGAATATGATGTCTGACTGTGGCACCTTTTTATGATGTTAGTAGCCGTTAATGCACAAGTACCATTATTAGTTTATTAAAAAGTTCAAATTGATATTCTTGTTCCATCAATTTATTTCATTTATTGGCTGGAACACTTTAATTAAGGAGATATTTCTCATTTACTGCTTATTTTCCAGTGACCTAATTTTTACATAAAAAAATGGTAGCATAAATGCTTCTTTCTTACTCAACAGATTTCAAAATGGTGATTTATTTTTCTGGTATCCAACAGTAATAAGCTAGTATTTTTTCAAGTATCTTTATAAATGATAGATTTAAACTGCATTACAATTCTTATCCTTATCAATGTGCAATTTATTCCATCTTTGGCCAGTAGGAGCTTTTTCAAGTTGGCTGCTGAGTCCTTTCAACATGACCCTAATAACTTTGATAACCTGTTCACCACTTGGTATGATAAGATGTTCCAGGCTAACTTGCCTATTTCTTGCCCAGACTTGGAATCAACTACTTTTCCAAGAAGTTCTGATACCTTCTTTTAAAGAACTGCAGCCACAGAACATATTAACATGCTAATAAATGCATGGGTCCCTGTTATTAAAATGTTCCAAAGTACCCAAACCAATAGCAATCTTCAAATTATAAAACAATTAAAATATATCTTTGATGTATAAAAACATTATGCAAAGTGCTGATGGTTATTGTGAACACATCAGAGGTTAGTATTTATTAGATACCTAATCAGGAATTTGGAATAGATCTGAATTTTAAACCAAAATGATAAAAATCGTCCAGAAAAGGGGTATGTTGTAGATTCCGGATTGTATATTTAAGATTAGGGTTCAAGGTGAGTTGTAGAGACCTATACCATACCATTCCGAGACATTGTCACTGTTTTTCTGGGGTGCTCTGATTATTTTATGGTTACTATTATCTGCTTGCATCTCTGATAACACAGAAAAGTCTTTCTGATGCTGTGGATTTCAGATAGGTATTTCTAACTGTCCTCAAGAGTTCTTGTCATCAGCGAATGTGGTGGGTCCTACGATTCCTGTATAAGAGATCTTAAAATGAAGTTTTTCAGTGACAGCAACATTTGCAAAGACCAGTGATAACTTCTTAGCCATCAGGGAGCATCAATGTTTTAAATCAAAATTTAGGCAGCAGGAGGAGTCTCTGAAGTTAGGGAATGTTTCTATTTTTATTTTCCCATCTATCCCCAACCCAGAGCTCTCAGTTGGAGTTTTATGATCCTTCATAGGAAATTAGCAATTTGTCACATTCCTAATGTTTACTTAAGCAAACATTTTAACAGTCCCACTGATGTGGTTTTCTTGTAGATGTCCATAGCTTTATGTTTTCAAATGCATTCTTTCTGGTGTGACTTGCAAAACTAAGCCTTTTCAAAGTAGGTCCAGATGTTGAAATATCTCTAAGAAATGCATATGGTCATTTAATCTAAACATACCAGTTTCTTTTGGGGGAGAACTTGAAATACGCCACATAAATTTGCAGTGATTTCCATTCATTAGAATTACTAATTGAAAAACATGTGAAAGTGAAGATCATTCCTAATTACTCATGTTAGAGTTTGATACAAGTTAGAGAAATAAAGGTACTATAGATAACAGATAAATTATAGGTACAAAACCTAATTTCCTTAGTCTTATGTCAAAAAAACATGAAATACCCAAGTTTTCTTATATTCCTCTCAGACATGTCAGGCCTCGGAGTACTACAGATGCTTAGAGTGTCCTAAGTGTCTGGGTAAGCATGGGACATGGGCCTTTGGTTGGTGGATGCAGTGGACTGATGACCAGAGACAAAGAACTATGGAGAGACCCGCTATTGATGAGGAAAAGCAGAGTGAGGCTACATTACCAGTTTCAAATGAGGCAAGGTGAGAAGAAGGAGGCAAGCTGTAAAGCCAGATGCATGAAGGAAGCCAATGGTTTGAAGAGAGCAGAAGGAAGTCAGAACTTGGAGGAAGTCCAGGAACCATCCTGGGCCTCTAGATTGGATGTGTTGAGAGTAGTTAAAAGATTGGAGACAAAGCAGACATAATTAGACATAAAGAGACAGAGGTACATTAAAAAGAATAGGACACCATTATATTTTATTCTGTCAGTTGATGAAATCTCCCAAGATAAAGTCTTAACAATGGCTGAAATGTATGAGCTTTGTACGTGGAGTGGCTGCCTGCTGGTATGTAGTCAGTGTGGAACTATCACAATGACAAAAGGCATTAGACCCCAGAGGTGGAGAGCTCAGGTTGAAATCAGTTCATTCATCCCTAGCTGTGCTTCCTTGGAAAAAAGTAACCTCTCTGTGCTTTATTGTTCCTCTTCTGTAAAGATGGGATTAGTAGTAATATCTACCTCATGGGGTTATTGTGATGATTAAATAAGTTAATACAGATAAAGAACTCAGAATAACAGTAAGTAAAGGCTTAAGAAAAAGACCTTTCAACTAACATTGTATAGGAGCATTTTTAGGAAACAGAAATACGAAACTACTCAGCATAGTAATAAATAACTTTCAATGCTGGATTTTGAAACAGAGGAGGACATTAGATGGCAAGAACTGTGATGAGGCAGGAATTCTCTATCATAAATTAAGGGAATGAAAAAAAGTGAATTTGTAAACAGACTGATTGAGATTCAGATCCTGAATCTACCCCTTATTGCTTTGTGACCTGGAACATGTTTCTGGACTTTCATGTGCCCCAGTCTGTGCAATTGTAATACGGGGATGATAATTTTATCTGGCAGAATTAATTGTAAAGATTAACTAAGGTTAATTTTTAATGGAAGCCTATAACCAAAGACTGACACACAATAATAGTTCAATTAATGCTATTTTTCTGGATTCCAATCATCATATTGCTTTTTAATGTAAAAGTCTTAGAATCTGTTGTTTTAGTATTTTATACATAACAAACTTTTAAAATTCAAATATAATTTTAGCTCTACTGTGTCTCTTCCCTCTCCTCACAGGGCAAGGAATCTGTAGGGCTAGAGGGATAAGCTCACCATGAGGCTAGCCTCCATTTTGGATACCTGGGACCCCAAATTTCCCCATCCAAATGGCCCTAAACCTGCTTCCAGGGTCTGCATAGGCTCTTCACCAGGAGTGATCAGGGAGAGCTATTTTCAGGAATGGGAGCTGGTTGTAAACAGAGTTTGGGCTTGTAGGCTGAAGTATTCACACCCATTCCTGTTAGGTCCCTCAGAGATCAAGACAGAACTAGGAGTGAGGGCTGGGGGCTGGGCTAGCTCTTCCCATGCCATCCCCTTCTGGTAGGCAAACCCCAGGAATTAAGTATTCACACCCATTCCTGTTAGGTCCCTCAGAGATCAAGACAGAACTAGGAGTGAGGGCAGGGGGCTGGGCTAGCTCTTCCCATGCCATCCCCTTCTGGTAGGCAAACCCCAGGAATTTGAAAATTCTAAAGCACACCTGTCTTCCAGGTCATTAAGTGGGCACATTTGTCAAAGATAGGAAGATAGAACACATTTTTTTCTATGCTTATTACCTTGAGTTAAAAGTTCTTAATGTGGAGACAAATGGGTGGTAGACTGCTATTCTTGTTCTTGCTGCAGGCCCTGCAAACATATGTACCAGTCTGTAGGTGTTACTTATAAAGAAGTTGTACTTTTGAAATGATGTGATAAATACTTCCTGAATTTGCATCATTTACAATTCAGAAGCATTGGATGTGGGTCAAATGCTGAAAATTCATCTCTGCCTACATATTTTGAAGTTATATAGACTGTAGTGATTCAGCCTTTAACCAGGTCCTATTTGTGTCAGAAAGATATGTGGTTGATGTCTTTCCCCTAAATTTAGAGATGTTTAAAATTAGAATTCACAGCAGTGCACTGGGTGCTTGATTTACTTAATAGATTTAGAAGATGCACATGAATGCAACCATAGAGACACATGCACTATGTCCTAAATACTCATTGCTACAATAAACATCATTCACAGGGGCTGAAGATAAAACAACAACAACAACAACAACAACAACAAAACCCCATGACAATAGAGCATGCTAAAAATTGAAAACTTTAAGTTACTCCACTGGTTCAGAGCATCAGAAAATGAGAGACTGTGTGAAGGGTAGGAGGTCATCTTAGTAAATCAGAGCTGCGTTAGGCCTGCATTCTTTTACTACAATACAATTAAACTAGACTTTTAAATAATGTTTAGTAAAGGAAGAAACTTGAAAATTAACAATAACAGTAACAGTAGCAGTCCTTTGCTGATAATATGTTAGGGCTGTCAGGGTCCTTTTGCCTCCTGTAGTCATGGCCTTTAGTGTTCTTGGATTATCATAAAAACAAACCTTGTTGTTATCCACCTGGGTATTATTCTTTGTGCCCTCCCAGGAGCAGCATGAGAAGAGTTCTCTTAAGCTTATCTAAAAGGTGCTCATTTCCGACCAATAATAATAATATAGCTCACAATCCACTCCTCCTCGTAGCATAACATTATGAGTTTTCTTCCATTTTCAGCACTCTCCAAACAAACTTCGTTAAACACCCAAATCAAAAGATAGAATTAGGAAGAAGGGAGTTGGGATGCTTGGGAGACACATTATCAGAGAAGAGGACAAATCCGAATCATCACCGTACCATTTATCTTTGTCCTGGATGGTGTCTTCCCATTTTCTTCCCAGCATTTTATGCTTTTCAGTTTCTGCCTTGTTTTAGTCTGCTTGAGCTGCCGTAAAAAAATGCCATAAACTGAGTGACTTTAACAGAAATGTATTTTCTTATAAGTCTGGAGGTGGCTGCAAGTGTAAGATCAAGGTACTGACCAACTGGGTTTGTGGTGAGGGTCCTTTTCCTGGCCATCTTCTGGCTTTGTTCTCACGTGGCTTTTCCTTGGGTGTGTGAGTGGGGAGAGAGAGAATGGGTGGGGGGAGTGGGAGCAGGAGAAAGAGAGAGAGAGATCTCTTATAAAGCCACCAACCCTACAGGATTAGAAACCCCCATTTATGACCTCATTTAATGACCTTAATTATCTCCTAAAAGCTTTATCTCCAAATAGTCATGTTGGAGGTTAGGGCTTCAACATATGCATTTTGTGTAGTAATTCAGTCCACCACGTACCCATAGCAAACATTAAAATTGCCTGATTTCTTTGAGTGCTGGTTCAGACCAACTGCCTCCTAATTCCAAAATGTCCATGAAAGCTGAGTGAAAACCAGTTATTCTCTTCAAAAATAAACCATAATTGAGGGTAGGGTGAGCCTAGTCAATTCTATAGTTTCCACTTACGGGAGGCCTGGGGACCCAATATATTAGCTAATTTCCTTTTACATTCTCACCAACAGAAAGTAGGATAGAGGTGAACACTTTTTTCTTAATTTGAACTTTTAATTGCTTAAAAGAGTATGAAAAGATTGAGGGACAAATCGTTAAAGCCAAACTGGGGACAGGGCTCAAAGAACCATTATAATGGTCAATCTTCTAACAAGCGAGATGAGATAGTTCAGTATTAATCATGACTTTACAATGATTATTCTTCATATATATAAATTTACTTTTAAAGTCATTCAACAAATTTATGAATAGTTTAATGATATTAAGATTCTGATCTTTACATGTGAATTTCTCCAATAAGGTAAGAATGCTATATTTTCTTTTCTCTTTTTTTTTAATTGAAGCAGAACTGATTATACATATTTGGGGGTACAGTATTGACTACCATTATTTGTATACAATATGTGTAATGATATTAAGATTCTGATCTTTACATGTGAATTTCTCCAATAAGGTAAGAATGCTATATATTCTTTTCTCTTTTTTTTAAAATTGAAGCATAACTGATTATACATATTTGGGGGTACAGTATTGACTACCATTATTTGTATACAATATGTAATGATCAAATCAATATTATTAACATATTCATATATTTTAAATATTTATTTCTTTTCATTTTTAAAATGGAGTTTGAAGAAAAGGTAGAGTTCAGGATGGAAATAATAGTTTGGTCAACTTCAAAATTCCTAAAACAAAATTGTCTAATTGTGAAAAATGAAGTTGAGCAAAATCAAAATATTCTTGACTTCTGAAATTGGTTACTCTTTCTTTCAAATGATACAGGTAACTTTCAGGGGCTGAGAAGACTTAAAGTTGTCATTTGAGGTGCAGATATAATTGATTTTGTAAGATTTATGAATGGTTTGATACCTAAATACATTGAAAAAGTAAATTAGATAAACACACAAACAAGTTAAGGTTCCTCATTGATAGATTCATAAATATCAGGTAAGTGTGATAACCATGATCGTTATTAAGATAATATTATTCTTAGTTAAAGCTAAAGGCCATAGTGACTACTAATCTATTTTGGAAAGGAGAAGAAAAAGAAAGAAAGGAAATATCAGCGAACAAATCAAATAATAAACAAAAAATCCAGTTGGCATAAAATACTGAAAATCCCAGAGAGTATGCATCAGTTGACATAAATTCTCACTTGCAGACTTATTAACAAAGAACTGCTAAAATGAGCATTTATCTCTAATTGTAAATGACATCAGGATTTAGTGGAAGGAGGTGAATTTAGAGGAGTGAAGTAAGGAGAGTTTTTCAAGCTCTAAAGCTGTTTTTCTCAAAGGATTGTATTTTATGGGTGTGTATGTGTGTGTATAAGATAATTAAGTTGTACAAGTTATTCGGTAGCTTGATAAAGAACTTTGGTTTTAAATTGCTTTAGTTATTTTGTAGGACTTGAAGCATGTAGTAGGGGCAGATTGGTTAGGTGTTGCCCTGGATTTTCATGATGTAGCTGTTATCTCTCAGGAATCCAATTTCTTGACCCAAAATGAAGGGTTTAGATCTAGATGATTTCTGAGGTCTTTTAGGGAGCACAGATTCTATAGTTATTCAGCTACTCATTGCACTCCCTATTCCTTAACAAAGCCCTTGACCACATTTCCACTAGAAATTTAATGAGAAGGCTTTAGAAGTGAAACTGCTGTTCAGGGGTTACAGGCATTTGGCTCAAGCATGCACGAAAGCAATGATGTTCCAAGGACACTGGGTTTTGGAGGACTTAGTCATTTCTCTGTCAGAGCACGGAAAGGCCAGAATCATCTAGAAAGCCCTCCCAGGTCTGCTGTGTCTGGCATGTTACCAGGCTTGCTCTCAATATCTCTATCTTATAATAGATCTTCGATATATTTCTTTTTGAGGCCACAATATATCTTCTTTTTTTAACTCTGAAAGACAAGGGTTTTCCTTTCGCTAAAGTAAAATGTGCTTCACATTTTATGTGTTGGCCTTGATCCAAATTAAATAATCTGGTAAAGTCATTAAAGGAATTTAGGACTTTAAGTACTGTTCCTCATTGTTCCTTCCCTCTGGGTAAGCTTTACCACCTACAAGAGTTTAAAAGAGTTTATTTGGGTTCAAAAAGTGTTGGCCAATATGTACTCTTGTTGCTTAACTGCAAATTTTGTCAAATGTTCTACTGTTCCCTGCTATCCCAACTTCTCCCTTCCTCTTGAATCTTAAATCAATGTTTGGTGGTCAGTCAGTTATTCCCTTCTTTCTCGGTCCAAGAAAGCTTCTCGAGACAAAACCAAGGGCACGATAAGGATATTTTGTCTTTAAACTGCTGTGACTTGCCTTTTGTATGCTACAGTCTAGCAAAAACACAGGGTTGGAGTTAAAATGTGGAAAATCATCTTTCCCCTGCCTGTTGGAGATGACTTCTTGTATATAGACTAATGAACGGACTATAGATGAGAAACAGAATTATTCTTATCAAACTCGTGAATTACAGTAGAACATTTTAGTGATTATCTGCAGATGGATATGTCTTTCAGATCGTATAATGATCTAACTAACACAATATAATGACATAACTATAGTTAATGATTTATTAACTAATGGTATTGTTAATGATAAACTGTTGTAACCGGATGCATGGGGGTGTGTGGAATTAGAGTTTCATTTTAATTGTACTCCAACATTTTTTATTTTTTTCTGCAGCTCTGTGGTATCGTGATCCTGGGAATAGCAATATGGATACGAGTAAGCAAAGACGGCCAAGAGGTAAATGCTTCTATTGCATTTTTCTTAACTGCCTCATGTAATCATTTGTGCTGATATGTGATTTTATAATTAAATTCATTCCATCAAAATTATTTACTAGGTGCCTGCTACTGTGCTAGGCATGAAACAATCCTTCTGAAGAATGGAGGAGGTTTTACTCCGAAAATAGGAAGAGCTCAATGAAAGGGGAGGTGGGAGGGGGACAGTATGGAAATTTGTCTCCTTCACTATTTGTTTAAGGCCAGGCTTTGTGCAGCTTGTGGATACAGACCATCCCTCCTCCCCACCAAGGAGAACAATTTTTATAGTACCAGGTATTCATGGTAATTTATCTGGCCCTAAGATGGTTGGTCCAAAAGAAAAGAAGGGGAGAAATTCTCTTAGAGAAGAAGAATTTGAAACTGTGTTTTAAAGGCAACAAAATGCAACGGTAGTTGGTATTTAGCTGTGGCAGCTGGCATTGAAGGTAATTCCTTACAGCAACCAGAGGCTGGTCATGGAAGTGCAACTCAGCAGTTAGCTGGTGCTGTCCATCTTTTTGCTATGGGTACAAAATTAACATGACCCATGCTCTCCCCCTACCCCCTCCTTCTGTGCCCAGTGGCAAACACTTATCAAGATTTCCACAGGTCTGGGGAAAGTTTAGTTCATATGCTTAATTGTGGCTTCAGCCTTTGGACTTTGCATACACCGTTTCTGTTCCATTCCACTGTGTCACAAATGTGTGCGTGTGTGGGTGTTGGAAGGGGAAAGTGCGTGTGTGTGGGAGTGTTGTACTGTCAGTTCAATGCAGCATAATATCACCTGGTACCATGTCCTCCATGGTAAGCTCCCTTGCTTCCATTCCTTTCTCTCCCCTCTTGTTTTCAGGGGCACTGTCCCCCAGATCCCCAAATTATTATTCTTACCTCATAAAGAATGGTTTATTTGTTCTTTGTTGTCTGTGTTCTTTCCACTATTCAGGGTCACATCTTCTACTGCTTGAACCTTTTCAAGATACTTGCTCAAGTAAAGAGTGTTTCTCTCCCTAAAAGGAATTTTGATTCCTCTTTGATAATTAGGATATTATTAAGCCAGCAATTAAGACAATGCATTTTCTATTGACCGTGATTACACCATGGTGCAGCTAGATGCCTTCGGACATAACCTAGTGGAAAGAAAGATTAAAAGTGAATTAACATCTGTTTTTTTTCTTTTTTTTAAAAGTAGATGGCTTTTCTGGAAATTTCTTTCTGTCTGTCTCTCTCTTTCTCTTTTTCTTTTTCATTTAAAATTTGCTTTTTACCCTTAGAAAACCCAGGGAATCATAGTGGAAATTAGCTGCTTCCTCATTCTATGCCTCACCACGGTATTCTGTCTGTCTCTCTCTTTCTCTTTTTCTTTTTCATTTAAAATTTGCTTTTTACCCTTAGAGAACCCAGGGAATCATAGTGGAAATTAGCTGCTTCCTCATTCTATGCCTCACCACGGTGAAACGAAACAAAAAAATCATTAGTAGTAGTTGCAGTCAATTTTGTATTGACTGTTAAGGGAGCTGACTCATATGTGCATGTAGATTTCAGAAGGTGGAATCTTTGAGTTAGTCTAGGAACTAGTGTTCTTCATAGAGATAGTCCAGTAGGTTGAGGTTATAGGAGATAGATGCACTGTATGAAGAACTTTTGTATAATACAGACGCAAGGTTTCACTTCTTCCTTGTGATTTACTTCTGGACGTATTTGGAGCACAAGTGGTAGATTGAGGGTAGGTGTCTCGGGGATGAAGAAGAGTATGTGTGTGTTGTGGGGAGAAAAACCAAATTATGCCAGATGGATAGCCCACCCACCATAAATGGCTGTAGGATTTTTTCCTCAATATTCTATTACTTAACAGTAGGGCAAACTAAAGAGTTTCTGGAAAACTCTATGGACTATACCTTCTGAAAATGAGGAGATAGAATTGATATGGAATATCAGGAACTGGACTGATTTTTTTAAAAAAATCAGGATGCAAAGCACTATTATTAATCCATAAAAGTTCCCTCATGTTTGTTTTCAGTCAATTCCTGTTTTCCCTCCTATCTTGCTCATAATCAAGCCCTGCTTTGATTTTTATCACCATAGTTTTGTCTATTTTTGAATGCCATATAAATGGAATCATACAGTATTTTTGTTTATGTGTATGGCTTCTTTAGCTTAACATAATGATTCTGAGATTCATTCTTATTGCTTAAATTTAATTTAAAGAATTATCATGAAACACACACTTTATAATGCTACTTTATGTATAAAACTCAAAATATGTGAACCCAAGTTCACATCAAGAAGAGTAAAAGTAGCTGTCCTTCTAAGCTTTTTAAAATACTATTCAAAAAACTCATCACATTTCTTTCATCCAACTTCCAACATAGTTCAGAAAAGTATTAGGCTTGAAACACATTATTCAGGCAAGTAGCATCTCAATAGAATATAAGCTCCATGATGAAGGGATTTTTGCTTGTTTAGATCACTGAAGTATATCGATATCCTAGAATAGGGCCTGACACATAGTGAAGTACTTAGTGGATATTTGTTGAAGGAGCAAAATAAACATCAAGAAAAGGGATTTTCTGCCATTAATGTCTTTCTTATTTCCAGATTCTCAGTTCTGCGGACTCTGGCACTTACCCCTACGTTGCTGTGAATATCTTGATTGCTGTGGGTGCCATCATCATGATTCTGGGTTTCCTGGGATGCTGTGGTGCTGTGAAGGAAAGCCGCTGCATGCTCCTTCTAGTAAGCTCTCAGACAAATCCCAATACCCAGCCTTCAGACTCCTGAGGATTATCTCCATCCCCACTGTCTGTCAAAAGGACTTGTCAATATCGATGAAACTCTAACTTCTGTTTAGAGGGTTTGATTGTGAAAGCTCATGTGGCTTAGATTTGGCTTAGTTTGGCTTAGATTCAAGGATACTCTGAGAGAAGATAAATTTTAATCATTCATCCATTCAGTCATTCAGTCAACATTAATGTGTACCCCTATGTTCCAGGTACTGCACTAAATGATAAGAACTCAAGACAATTAGAACCTGTTAGAGAAGGTTAATAAGTAAACCAGTAGCTACAGTGGGAGTGGCCCCATAAGAGAAGGGCAAAGAGAGGAGAGAACTCCAAGCCAGGGGCAGAAGTGAAAAAGGTGTTTGTATGGGAAAGGGTATAATGAGCTCTCCAGGGACAGAGCCTGGAAGTACAGTGCTGGCATGTTGGGGGAACTGAAAGGCCTTGGGCGTGGCCAGAGAGTGGCAGAGGCTATTTTCAGTGAATGATGGGAGATGAGTCTGAGTGTGGACTGTGGTCAAGTTATAAAGTGTCCTATATGCCATACTAAGAAAATTGTAAAAGAGTGAGATAATCAGATTTGTCACTTAGAAAGCTTCAAGGAGATGGATTGGATTGGGATAACCCATAGCCATTTTCTGAGTGTGGACTGTGGTCAAGTTATAAAGTGTCCTATATGCCATACTAAGAAAATTGTAAGAGAGTGAGATAATCAGATTTGTCACTTAGAAAGCTTCAAGGAGATGGATTGGATTGGGATAACCCATAGCCATTCCCTTTTCACATATTAGGAAAAAAATCAAGTGTTTGTCAGATATAAATCAGATATAAGAGTTTGTCAGAGCTAGTCTAAACTTGCTTCTCTAATAAAATGAGTATTGTGTCAGTTCCTGAAACATTTTTTTAACTGTGTATTATGAGAAAAGGTAGAGAGAGTTTTAATGGGATTCTAATAGCATCCCTGAGTGGTTGTTTTTTGATTAGTAAGGCCTCATTTGCAATTCAGGGAAAAATTACTTGAGGAGCTTGTTTAGAAAAATTAATCTGTGGGCTGCATCCTCCAAAATTATGATTCAGTAGATCTGAGGGAGATTTTAGTAATCCACATATATAATAACAGGACACCAGGTGATTCTGATAGTGCTGAAAACGCTGTCTGGAAGCCAGTTCTTTGTGTGAGTTTGTGTTTGATGAAGACACGAAAGGAGAAAAGATAATGTTGAAATAAATTTATCCAAGTTTCAAACTTCCCTCCATTCAATATCATAGAGATACTAATAGTCCTATCAATATATTTTTGTTTGAAGCACTTCCTTGATCAATCTTCGAAGCAAATGTTTCTGAGTAGTAATAGATCCAAAATTTGCAGCTGGAGGTAAATAAAGAGTGCGGCTAATACAAATGCAATATGATCCCATTGTAGACAGAAGTGCAGTGCGAAAATGTCCCAAGATGTCACTGAATGCACTGAGGATGATATATAATCCTTTTCCTTTTTTTTCAGTTTTTCATATTCTTGCTTCTGATCCTGCTCTTGCAAGTGGCAGCAGGTATCCTAGGAGCTGCTTTCAAATCTGAGGTGTGTACAGAGATGATGTTTGAAAATTCTGGAAAACTCTGAAAAACTGAAACACTACCTCTTGCATGAATAATTTAACAATACTTTTCAATTTTCAGTCTCAGAGCATTCTGAATGAAACTCTTTATAAGAATGTAAACCTTTTGAGCTCAACAAGTGAAGATGCAAAAGCATTCCAGGAAGCCGTGACTGAATTTCAAGAAGAGGTAATTAGAATTTGTAGCTCATTTGGGGAGTTGGACATAGTTCTTCTGTGATTATTTAATTTTTAACTGGCATATTCCTTAAAGATTGAAAAATGTCTCCATTTTTTAGATTTTGACTGATTATTCTGTCACCACGCAATAAAAAAATACAAGAATATTTGTAATTTTTTCCTATCTTCATATGAAGTTCTGAAGCAGTTTAAAAGTACAGAGATGAAAAAGATATGTTTATGACAGATCAAGCCTTGACCGGGTCAAATCAATAATTGTTTTAATATTTACCATTTAGAAGGGTAGTACATTTGAAGAATATCTCACTGTCTCTCTGTCTCTCTGCTTCCACTCCCTCTCTCTCTCTCTCTCTCTCTCTCTCTCTCTCTCTCTCTCTCTCTCTCTCTCTCACAAAAAGAATTATTGCTACTTACTAAGTGCCAGGTTTTACATTCAGTAGCTCATTTAATACTCACAGCAACCTTACAAGATGGATAATAGTCATTATCTTCATTAGCCCTATTTTACAGATGAGGAGACTGAGATTTACAGAGGTTTGACAGCCAACAAGTGATGGGTTGGAATTTGAACCCAGATCTGTCTGACCAGTCTGCTATTTATCAATTGGTACACTTGCCCTTTTTTTTTTTTTTTTTTCCCCCTTTAAGGTCAAAACCTTGGTAGGCGTTGAAGGTATTCTACTGCCTGACTTTTACCTAATCTTTTAACTTTACTAAACACATCAAAACAAATGAAAAACTGAAAAACAAAACCCTCTAGTCCAGCCAGTTTTGTCTACTCAGGGTCCCTTGAAAAAGTCTGCTTTCCTGCCTGTGCCTCATTCGCCATCCTTGGAATGTGCTTACTGTTTTTCTCTTTCTTTCCAAATACATGTATTTTAGCGATTGCCTAAAATATTAGTTACTCTGTGATACTTGTCTTAACCACATCTTCTTTATTCCCATTATATTAACTACATGTAGCATGGAAATTTTCAGACTCTTAGAGGGGGACTGAATTTTGTAGGTCATTTAACCTGACTTTTCATTGACAGAAATACTTTATATTTATTTTTTTCACCCTCTAATCAAATATTGAAGAGCTGAAAGTTTACCAGTTTTTGCCCATCCCACTTATGGACAAATCTAAAAATCACTGTGTTCTTTCTTAGTTTGAAACAAAATCTGTTTCCCTAGAATTTATATCATTCAGTCCTAGTTCTTCTAGAGTTTCAGAGGGAAAACAAAACCAAACACAAAACTATTGATGCATCTACACATGGCAACTTTTTCTCTGAAAATGGCTACTGTTTGAATTCTAAAGCTTTGATTTTCAATTGGAAACATCCTTAGTTTCTTGAACTATTCATCAGATGACATTTTTTCCAGAGCATTCACCCATTCCTATTTGGATAGACTCCAGCTTGTAAAAATTCTCCTTAAAGCATCATTCCCAAGGACCTAAACCTGATATGGGTCAGTCCCTGTTTAACTTCCTCTGAGTTGTGCTTTTTTAGCCTCCCACTAGCTGCATCCTTTGATCATATCCCCTCCTGGATCATTCCCACTCCGGAGCCCAGACTAATACAGGCTTACAGCAGGGAGAACTTAGGCAGCCTCAGTCCTAAGTCCCGCCACTGGGTGGGACTGAGCATCCCTGACCCTCCCTAGTGAGTTGACCTAAGACAAAATGTACTAGAAGTAACCATTGGGCCTCTGGATTGGGTCCTGAGTCACATTTGCTGCACATTCTTTCTGGGATTCAAGGTTTCAGTGTGTGACCTAAGACAAAATGTACTAGAAGTAACCATTGGGCCTCTGGATTGGGTCCTGAGTCACACTTGCTGCACATTCTTTCTGGGATTCAAGGTTTCAGTGTGAACTGTAGGCTTCTAAATGTTCTGTTAGTTGTATTATGCTTTCCTGAAGTGCTCCCATTTTTCTACACAAATCCTATGCCTGAAGCTCCCTGTGTTCGTAGGACTATCTCATTTTTATTGACCATTCTGAGTTTTTATTTTCTTCTCCTTCTGCCTCTTCCTTTCTTCCTTCTCCTTCCTTCTCCACTGTGATTTTCTTTTTTTTAGTTATGCTTCTCTGGGAAGAGTCCTGCCCCAAACTCTGGCTGGGTGACCTGGAGCCCATTCCACATGGACAGAGTTGCTGATTGGCTTTCTCTTTGGATTTAGGGAATTCCCACACAAATTTCTTGTTAACATACTGATAGAATGTACCCCTCTTGGATTCTTGGTGATGACTGTTTGTCTGCAGGTGTTATATCATTCACTGCATAGTTCCTTTTTTTTGTCCAGCTGTTGTTATACCACTTTCAACAAGCCCTGAGCACTTCTTCCCTAATTGCTCCCACCTCTGATCTAGTGACCAGATATAATGACAAGCTTTAGCCTTCCTTCCTCCTACCCTATCATTTGTTAGTCTCTATGCCTCCCTAAGGAATCCTGAGGTATACTGTACTTTAAATATACTCCTTATCCATGAATATGAATAATGAGACATATTCTATTTGATATGGAATGTCTGTATCAATTAATACTATTCAAGAGTATGTAATCAGAAAGACTGACCAATTAATTATGTCTACCATGAAAACAGGAAAGGAAGTTCTTTCAAGATTGCCCTCCATGCTAATATTGACCTTGGAGCCAACTGAAATTTCCAGATCTTTGTCATGTAAACAAATAACTGTTGAGTCATGCATTTGGCAATTCAGTCTTTGGGCCAAAGTGCAAGACTTATATCTGCCTCAGTTGAACTCACTAGTTTAAATTTATTTTTTGACCTATCTTTGAAATTTGATTCTGTTCTCTTGCATATTAATCATCACTCCCAGCTCTACAACAACTACAGAGTTGAAAAGATACTTTCTATGTCTTTACCAACTCATAGATAACAATGTTGAACAGGACATATTCACATGAGAGCATAAAAAAACAACAATCAACGACAAAAACAACAATAGCAGCTAATGCATATTATCGAGTGCTTTCTACTGTTTGAATTCTAAATTCTAGGCACTGGGCTAAGCACTTCTTCACATACATTTTCTCATTTTTATCTTTACAACAAATTTGTGAATTAGATTCTATTAGTAGTAATTATTATTATCTGTATTTTACAGATATAGAAACTGTGGCACAGAGAAATTTAAGTAACATGGGTAACATGGTCACCCAGCCAGTAAATGAAAGTTCTTTCAATATCCTGGCATTGCAATACATCAGAACCTGGAAAACTGCCCAGTCTTCATTCTTATTTCTTAAGCAATTTCTTTCCTATCATTTCTACATGAAGAGTCTTCTCACAAATAGAGCAGATATGAGCAAGATGAGGAATATTTACTTTTCTCTCTCTCATTTAGAAATATTACATGCTGTATGCCCTTAGTACACTGGGCTTAGCACTTTCTTGTTTTTCTTCCTCAAACATGGCCACAAATCCTCTTTCCCCTCTCCTTAGTGTTTCTCCATGTTTCAGTTCATTCCAGGCCTTAATCTTCCCAACATTATCCTAAGAGCTTTGTCCTTCATTTGTACTCCTTTCATATGTTAAAGTTGCCCATGAAAATTTTGTCTAATTTGAGGACCCTTGAGCATCCTCTTGGTGTTTGAGATGTCTCTCATCCTTTTCCTTTTCTCCTCCAAAAGTGATCAGAGATCATGGGATGGGAATTTCAGTTTTAAAACTTCTTATCTTTTTTGAGCAACCGTTCTTTACTGAGATCTTGACTCTTTCGTGAACTCTTGGAAACTTCCTTGCTAAAACCTAGGATACACTGGTCTGACTCTGCCCCTCTCTTTTGTCGTTAAAAACTAGAAGATAAATTTTTCCATCTTCTTTCTGAAATTTTCAGACTTTGTGTCTGCAATCCCATTTTTCTTTCATTAATATTAAGAACAAAATTTCTTCATTTTTGCTTTTATATTCAGAGAGTTGCATGAGGTGACATATGTGATATTTTAGCATAAGAAACATCTTAATAATGATTCAGAAGAATATAATTCAATGTGTTGGCAATGTTTTTAATCTTCTTAGTGACAACTTTTCATTCTACTTTTGATCAGTTTAAATGCTGTGGATTGGTCAATGGAGCTGCTGATTGGGGAAATAATTTTCTACAAAATTACAAGTCATGTGAATGCCCAAGCTTGACAGATTCTTCTTGTACATCTTATAGAGGCAAAATTGTTTACAAAGAGGTGAGAACTAAATCGAATTTGGAACAATAAGTGATTCTGTTATTTTCTTTTCACAGTGAAAGTCTACAAAAAAGTTAAATGTAGCAAGTACAATGAAAATCATGATATAAAAAATCTCAGGAATTTCCCAAATAAGAAAAGAAATCCTTAAATATAAAAACAGATATATAAAAAAGAAAGTATTTTATTCCTTCTTTGAATCCTGGTATCATTTAAACCCAACTTTAATAGGTCAAAGAAACATTCTACTGCAAGGGGAGGCAAAGTACAAACTAACATGAAAGTTTATGTCGTCCTGTTTGGTGACCTTAATAATTACTCTCCTTTTAAAAAATTTTTTAACATAAATTGTAGAAATCAATATTTTTACTTTAAAAGTCAAGATTTTTGTTTTTTCTAAACAAAGGTTCCTTTTCTCAAGAAATGGTAGAGGTATAAAGAAAGGACTCAGTGTTTAAGGGTTTAGGTTTTGGATGTTAAGTGTACTTATCAAGTTACCTAGTTATTTCTGCAATTGAGAGGTTGCCTCAGATATTTAAAGTCAACTGATAAAGATGAGTTTATCTTTTATGTGTTGTAGATGTCATATATATGTGACTTGTGTTTGTCAACATGTGGATGTCATATTTCTTGTTAATGATCAATTCATCATATATTTATTGACCTCCTCCTATGTGCCAGGCCTTCTATCAGCCACTGGAGAGCCATTCCAAAACAGGATACCATGTCTGCACTCATGGAGTGGATGCTCAAATAGGGAAGGGAGAAAGATAACTAAGGAACTTCCATCCAATGGACTATTGGTATTATTTGGATAGGGGTAGGCACAAGGTATTATGGGACCCCATTTAACTTGGTCTTTGGGATTCAGGATATGGCTTAATAGAGGACATGCATCTGTCCATTACTACAGGGCTTTAAGTAAGCTGTTCCTTCAACCTGGAATGAATGTGTACAAAAATGATAATTGCTGTTAGTGTTTCATTTATTTGCTGTTATTCTTTAGTGGCTACTATGTGTCAGGGACCCTTGCAAGGATCAGACATGCTTCTGGATCCTCTAGGAGATTGTAATCTAATTGGAAGAAAGATACAAAATAGCTATTAGAATTTACAATGAATTAATTTCTATAATACCTGAATATTATTTTTAATCTAGCATTGTTTTGGTTTAGCAATTGCTACCAGGTTAAGATGTAAAAGGAAATAGAAGTATATTAGGGGAAACTTTTCTTCTCCCAACTACTGATCTTTTTCACTGATCTTAGCACAATTAAACAGGCTCCATTCTGAAGGGGATTGCTGTCACTAGTATTTAAAACAACTCACGGGGGAGAAGTCATCTGTCAGACTCCAGTGTTACCATTTCTTTTCATTGTCAAAGTAATATCACTAAAAAAATTTTATTCTAACTTTTTGTGTCTCTCCCTGCCCCCTCCTCTCCACCTAATTTTAGCAACAATATTTACAAAGAAGGGAAATAAATATGGTACAAATGAATGTAGTTTCCACTTAAGATAATGAGGAAGTTAATAAATTTGATTACAGATTTTTATCTATCTCCTCTTAAAGATTCAATTCAAAAATGGTTTTCCTAAAGATAGATTCTTAAAAAGCTCCTAGCTTTATCCTAATAAAAAAAAGGTACTCCCTGCAAGTTCACACATAATTCAGCTGAATGTAGACTGATGGCTGCACCAGTTTCCCAAAAGGAAAATAATAAATTCATAAAATACTTCCGTCTGTCATGTTTCATTTGCAAGAAGTCTGGAAAAATAAGAAATCTGGAAAGGCCATAATTCACATTTTTTTTCTCCTTTTTGCTAAGATAACTTAGTTATCTTGGGGGAATGGAGAATGAAAAGCCCTCAAATATAATGAATGTGACTCAGTAGATATAATCATTAATCTCATAGTTAACCTTAAATGACATAATTATTTTACCAGTTTGGATCAGATGTGAATGGAGGGATTACAGTTAGAGGTGAAGAGGGAAACACTTAGCCTTATGGAGAATTTTTATTTTATTTAACAAATAGCGATATCTTGTTAGCCCTTTGCACATATATGACTATCATAGGGATGATATATTTTATGGCAATAGAAATACTACTGCTATTACATTGTGTAGTATTTTTCCATTTTTAAAATTATCTTTTCAATTTACAATTGTTGAAATTTTTAGGTCTGATCCAAAATGTTTTGAATTGGAATTGCATGCTGGTTTGAATAAATTCCAAAAAATGTAGCAGAGAGGTAACTTTCTAAATTCTCTTTTTTATCTAAAGTCATGTCATAATGGTAGACATAATTTTTTAAGGCAAAAATAACCCCGATAAATATTAAGGGTTTTAAAAATACCTTGTTTTAAAAATAACAATTTACAATATAATTAGCTAAATCTCAACCAGGGACCTCTCTGCTGCAGATTACAAACCTAAAAAATTTGTAGTCAAGGTGATATCAGCTCTAAAATGAATAATCTGAAGTTAGGACACAATTACTATTTTATAAATAATAAATTATAAAATTTATAATTTTAGGATATTTTGTTAAAAATTTTTTATTTAGAATTATCAATTCCTGTACTCAGCAATCAGGTAATTGAAGCGAAATGTTACCCTTCAAATGCTCCTCAAATGCAGGGAGTAGAGGGAATAATTCGATTTCTTTTTGTTGAGTGTGTTCCTGGTAGCAATGCAAAATGTTAACCAAATGAATAGTAATCTTAAGTCATATAAGGTCAAATTTTATTAAAGATAACTTTTTATGTTTTGTTTTTTGACAGCCATGCATTTCTTTCATAGAAGAATTAGTTGCAAAAAATCTTATCATAGTTATTGGAATAGCGTTTGGACTGGCAATTATTGAGGTACAGTATAAACTTGCATTATTGACTATTTATTCATTCTCTTTTTTATTTGTTCATTACTTCTTCTAATAAATGTTTATGGTGAGCCAAATAAAAACCAAGTACCCAACACCCAGCATTGAGGGAGACCTCAATCAGCTTTGAGTCTGGAGAAGAGATTCCAGTCCTATGAATTGAGCAGGGCTGAGGCTATTGTTTCCGAATGGTCTCTCTACTGAGAAAAAATATATAATTAATTTCCATACAATTCATAGTCCCAAATATCCTTTCGCATTGAAAACTAGCACAAGGGTTAAAATTTCCTGAAGTTAGAAGAAAAAGCACCAAACAAAAGCAAAACACAGCTTTTAGAATTTTTCATCTCTCTTTCTGATTTTGAAAGAGAAAATAAAAACTGAACACAAGAGTGTGGGGAGTTGCTTTCCTATTACTCCTTTCTAGAGAAATCTAACAGGTTCTGCAAACTGGAGTCAGTTGCCTCCAATTTTCTTAGTTCAAGTACTATGGACTTAGAGAAGTTTTTAAGGAAGCTCTGCTTGTGGCTTATGTATTATGCTCATCAACTTAATTATTGATGTTGAAAAAAATATCATGCATAGGATTTTTCTCTTGATGGACTTTCTTGGCATGGTTTTTTAAAAACCTGAAGGATACTTTTTACATGGCCTAAAAACCTTTGCCAAGAAGATGAAATAAAACTGTTTCAGAAAAACATTTTGAAATCATTCCAGATCTTGAGGAATTTAGAAATCAAGTGAGTCAAATTCACTCACAATCCTATTTCAGGGCATGAGAAAGAATTCTAACAACGTGAGGTCTCTCCCTGGTTAATGCCTCTGAGAACTGATTAGCTCAACTGAGTGACTTCTGCTTTATTATCATGCAATGTTGTGCAGCATCCTTCTTGGGCTTTCTGGTACTTTCTAACTTTTATTTGGGCCATGCCACTGCCAGAGAGGAATTTTAACTGGGTGGAAGCAATTTAGTGTTCTAAGTGGTCAGTTAGGTTATGGTGGAATTTTCCAGCCAACCATTAGAGAAAGGGTAGGGATTTATTAGCAGTAAATTGGGCTGTTGAGTAGCTCTTTCTTGTAGCTCAAATGAATAGGTTTAAATATGGAGTATTCTCTGTTGGTAGGTTTTGGCTGTCTATTTTTTTTTTTTATGTCTGATATAATAAAGTCAAATGGTGCTGTGCACTAGGTCTATTTCTCTCGATTCTGCCTTTCATAAAATGTCTTTGTTTCCTCTTTGTATTCCAGGTTTATGCTAATTTAGAAGTAAAAACTAATGGCCATAGAGGTGAATAAGGAATCACATACATATATACTCGTACATGTATACACATAAAACGCACTCGCACATATATCTTGGTAGAGTAGACCTTAAACGAATGACTGAGAGAGGCTTTAAGTGAGGTATTCAATTTAAGTGTTAAATTTCATGTTAAAACCAAATTCAGACAATTGACTATGACTAGCTAAAACTCACAGGTGCTTTTAAGAAGCTTCTCAAAAACAAAACTAGAAAAAATAAGGACATAATCGATTGATGTCTCTCATAGTATAGCCAAAGGCGTTGCCATGAATCTATATACATCTAGGGGAAAATAAGATTGCAAGAGGGATAGTGCATTTCAGTATTTTACAAAATTAGTATACTCCATATTTTTCTTACGTATTTTATTGGTTTTTCTAAAGATATATACAGGGAAATACCTTAATAAAACCTTCTGTACAGTAATTTCTAGATATGGAATTTTTACAGTAATTATCATAAAACATAACCATTTTTTGAGTTAGACCAGTTAAATTAAGTGTAATTTCTAGACTATCTGTAGATATGATAAATATTTGGTTCAAAGAACTGTGAAATTTTTTTGAGCAGTACCTCAGTCTAAAAGCCTGCCCTCCCTCTAGGGTTTGAATAGAAAGAAAATCATTTTGTACTCCTTCTACCTTTATTCAAAAAAGAGCTTTGAAATGTCTATAAAAATGTATCCAAAATGTGTACTTAGGCCCATCTCCCTACGCTGTTCCCCAAGTTTAAATTTAAAAAGACACAAAGATATGCTGAAAGAAAAACTCCTCTAATAAATATTTTTAAAGAAACAGAAGCAAATATTTCTCTGCAGAAAATATATTCAGACCATCTCCAGAGAAAAATATCATATAAAAAAATCCTCTGCCATTTAGCCCTTTGGCATTAGTCTGTTAAGGCATAAGCTTTGATGGGGTGGGCCAATAGTTGTTTTCAAGGCTCTGTTAAAAATATATACCTGTGGGATTCTCAGATTAGACGTTAGGATTCTATGCAAAATGCTTTATTCTGTAAGAAAAAATTATCTATAGATATTTTTGGAGTTCCCATTATTCTGACTTAAGTAACCAGACTTCTTATTGACTACAGCAACTTATAAGCACAAAAAATAATCAGCACTTTCTCTCCTCACTTTAGTAAAAGATTTTAAAAAGCCATTGACACTGATAGCCATCACTTTTAGGAAAACAATTATCCTGAAAGGAGGTCCTAGAAATAGAGCAGTTAAGATAAAGATGATAATTTTACAACATTTTCAGACTGCTTCAGAGTATTAGAAGCTGAGCAAAGTACTTTGAATTTATCATGAGTCTTAGCACATATTATAATATGAGGAATCTCTTTTAATTATTTGCTATTTTTCTGAACAATGATAAATGTTCTTTTCAGAGACAGCAAAATGTAAGAAAATGTGAATACTAACTGTCTAGTTTGCTGATGAATGGTGGGCTTCTATTTCAGGAATGTGGCAGTGAAAGATGATAGTTATCCCATTATTTTGCTCTTTTTCTTTATTCTTTCCTGATACTTGTCCCTCAGACTTTAAGGCTTGGGATCAAGGCAGACAGACTAAATTTTAGTCCTGAAGTTTAGAATATTCTGAATGAAAATAATTACTTTTGCAGAGAATTGATTTTTATTAGTATTATTTTTTTTTTAAGAAGGAAGAAATATTGAGCAGCAGTTCTTATTTGAATGACATTTCCAGGAAAGTATTAGTAAGCAGAAAGCCTCAACTCAGTAGGAGCATTTGAGATGACTCAGCATGAATGGCACCTTGCCTTCCTCCTGCCTTCCCTCACTGGGGCTGGTGGGAAGAAAACTTTTGATGTGTAATATATATACAGGTCCTGTCATTTCTACATCAAAGCCACAGCATGCAAGTCACCAACTGCAGGGCAAATTAGAGCAAGTTTTGGGGGTCACTCATTCTTGAGAGAGCTACTTAATGAGATGGAAATTATGCCCTATACTTTCAGTTATGCTTTTCATTTCAAAAGAAATTCCTGAATTAAGCTATTCCCCATAGTTTAGAAGCTTTTTAAAGAAAGCTTTTTTAAAAAAGTTACTTCATTTTTTTGTTTCTCTTGGCAATGCCTAAAACTATGGCAAGAGAAATCCTAGACTCCTTTATTTTTATGATCTAAACCAGATGATCATAACACTTTTATGGAAACAATAGGTATGTTTAGCCCCCGGCCTCCCCAGAGCTCCAAGAGAGATGCCCTACAGAAAGAAGTGTGTGTTCCAGAAATAGGAGGGGTCCTCTGGTGGCAGCAACCAATGCAGAATTGAATGGGCCAGTTAGAGGCTGATTGGCCAGCTGAAAAACCCTGATTAAAATACACACACACACACACACAAACACACAAACACACAAACTTGGAGAGCTTTCTCAGTGGTCTTTTGTCCCATTGGCTTCTCTAATATCTCAAGAGAGATAACTTAGATAAATAAAATTAGAACTGTCAGTAGGCAGAATCTTTTCATATACAATATTCTTTCTGTTTATTTATAATATCTCCAGTGTGTTCCCTTAAACTGTATATTAATTCTGTTATTTTATTCTCTAGACTCTTGGTTTGGTGTTTTCTATGGTCCTGTATTGCCAGATCGGGAACAAATGAATCTGCGAATGTGTCAAACTATCATCAGTCAAACCTCTTTAAAACTTTCCTTTGGCTTTGTAACTTCAAATATATGAGTGCTGTATATGTCAGGAGCAACTGACCTATTAAAATGTTTCACTTAGCTGGGACATGGATATCTTCTAGACATGTTGAACGTATTTAAGATTTGAGGGACATAAGGAAAATGATATGAATGTGTATTGTTGTTCAAAATAAAAGTAATGTTGTTTACACTGGTGCTTTTTTGTGTCTGATCATTCTGTTCAGGTGGTACTGTGCTTAAAATGTTCATCTGGAGCCACCCAGTGGAATAATCTTTTTCTTTAAGTGACAGGGCCATAGATAGTCAAGGTAGTAAATCTGGGATTTTCAGCAACAACTCTCTTTTTTATGGTATATTAGCCATTGGTAATAAGATTGAATTAAGTCTGAAGTTGAAATAATTGAGAGGAGTCTAGCTAAGAGTTGCCATCTCTTTTTTATTGTATGTATGTCAATGACTACTAATGTTGTCCTTCCTTTGCTACACACCTGTTGTGGGGACGAGAAGATCTAAGTGCCTACCTCCCGGCCATTGAATCTCTGGTACCTCTGGGACACAATAGTTATAATTTCTTTTTCTTTGTAGTTCTCAGAAACATTTAAAAATATTGCTTCCTATCGAAGTAAAATATACATACAGTAAAGTGAATAAATATTAAGTGTATAGCTCTGTGAATATATACACTTGTGTAAGCACTGTCCAGATCAAGGTATAGAACATTTCCAGCACACCAGAAAGTCCCTTCATGACACTTCCCAGTGGTGTGCTGGGACTGGCTCACACCGACTTGCCAGAGCAGATTGTACACACATACATGCCTTCCAACTCTGTGTTCAGTTACACTACACTGGTAGCTTGAAATCTATAGTATTTGCAGTGTGGAAATCAGGGTTTGATTTTTTTTTTTTTTTTTTTTTTTGGAGAGCTGGGTCCCTCTCCGTAGATACCCCCTAAGGATAACCACTCTTCTGACTTCTATGACCATAGATTGATTTTGCCTGTTCTTGAATTTTCTCTAAATGGAATAACAACATATGCACTCTGGCTTCTTTTGCTCAGCATTTTGTCTGTGAGGTGCATCTATATTGTTGCATGTAGCTGTAGTTTATTCTCATTGCTATGTAGTATTTCACTGTATATAAATATATCACAATGTATTTATCCATTACTCTGTTGATAGACATTAGATTTACTTTCAGTTCGACACTATTATGAATAAATCTGCTAAAAACATTCTTTTAAGTGTCTTTTGGTGCATATACGTACTCATCTCTGGGTATGCACGGGAGCGAAACTGCTTTGTTTACTTATGTTTAGCTTTAATAGATTAATTTCTAAAGTGGTTGTACTAATTTATACTCATACTAGAAACTCGTGATAGACTCAATCTCCTCTTCTGAGGAGGAAAAGTAAGGAAGGCCATTACTGAAAAGTAGATCAGAGTGACTGCCAAGGAGTAGGAGACTTGGAGGAGCCCTGGGCAGGGTTAGGTACCCCTATTCTGTGCTCTTCTATTAATGATAAAAAATATTTTATCTATTTTTCTCTGAGTGCATGTCATCTTCCAGGAACTATGCCAGAAACTGTACTTTTATTATTTCATTTCATTTCACCACATCCTTTTGAGGTAGATACTATTACTATTGTCAGTCTGCAGGAGTGAGAAAATTGAAGCTTAGAGAAGTTAGGTAACTTGCCCAGAGTCAAACAGTTAGTAATTGGCAGAACTGAGATACAAACCTTGACAAATGCCTCCTAAGCCATGACTGTTGATTATGACTTTCTCATAATATCAATAAACTTGAAATATTTTATTATAATTACCAGTTCAGGTGTTCACCTCTATTAGTACAGTATACTGAAACTCTTTGAAGGCTTGATTGTTTCTTATTTGCCTCTACATTCCTAATGCAGTGCTTGGAACATAATTAGCACTCAATAAATTGTACGTAGGGCTGGCCGGTTAGCTTGGTTGGTTAGAGCATGGTGCTGATAACACCAATGTCCAGGGTTTGATCCCTGTGCCGGCCAGCTGCCAAAAAACACCAAAAAACAAAAACCACACAAATAAGTTGTAGCTAAAAATAACAGTTAAGTTTATTGAGGGCTTACTATATGCTTAAAAATATTCTAAGCACTTTACATAGAGTAACTCATTTAAATACAGAAAAGCCCTAGTAGGTTAGTACTATTATTAGATCCATTTTACAGACAAGGAAACCAAGGCCTAGGGAGATTAAATTTTCTTAGGTCATGCAGCTAGTAATTGGGAGAAGTTGTGATTAATCTAAGTGATTCAAAACCTGTGCTCCTTATGTCATATCATTTTGTCATACATTACAGTGCTATTGGGAGAAATAGATAAGGAAATGAATATTGTGTCTTCTGCAGAAAGTTAGGCACATAATAGGGTCTCAATACATACTGTATGGTATCAAAAATATAAAGAATTTCTGTCAGTCAGTGTTGGCAGGAAAACACAAACCCTCCAGCTATTTTCAAACAATGGAAATATAATACAAGGAACTGTTATATTAGTCAGTTAAACAACAGAAATTTCTTTTTTCATTATTCTGGAGGCTAAGAAATCAAAGATGAAGTTGCTATCAGATTTTATTCCTGGTGAGGACTCTTTTCCTGGCTTGTAGATAAACTCCTTCTTGCTGTGTCCTCACATGGTGGGAGAGAGAGAAAAGAGACAGAAAGAGAGTGCACTCGCCCACACTGGTGTGTCCTCTTATAAAGACAATGATCCTACCAGTTTATGACCTTATTTAACATGAATTACTTCCTTACTCCAATTTCAGCCACAGTGGAGGTTAGGGCTTCAACATAAGCATTTTAGGCGAACAATTCAGGCCATAGCAACTACTTACACAGTTGATTAAAAAAAAAAAAAAAAAAAGTAAGATCCAAATGAGATGCTGAGATAA